AGGAGACAGAAGAGAGTGTTAGAGAAAGAGATGTAATGGCAGAAGCAGGGTCAGAGAGATGTGATGTGAGGAAGACTTGATTCGTCTCTGCTGGCTGTGGAGGTGGAAGAAGGGGCCATGTACTAGTTTGCTCGGGCTGGCGTCACAGTGCCACAGACCGGGTGGCCGAAACAACTGCAACTTACTTCTCACAGTTCTGGAGGCTGAAGGCTCTGCCTCGGGAACCAAATGGGAGGAAGAGAGAGAGAGACATAAAAAGCAACAGAGACTCTCCCCCGATGCTCTTGGAACCAGAATTCCCCAAGTCAGGAAGAAGGCTTCTCCTTCCTCATAATTTTAGATGCCTGCCCAGCCACCTCGGCTGGTGCTGCCATTGTCACCACGGGTTTGTCTGAGGGGGGAAGGGCAAGTGATAATAGAAAAAAGTCAGGGAATTTATTTCACTCTCTCTGATGCAGAGGGACCCCATTCCTCTCTTTTCAGACCATAGTAAAGCTTCTCTTGGAGCTTTTCTGATCTGTCTTTCTGTCTGAACCTAGCATGCAGGCTTGGGGTTCAGGGGGTCCCTGAGGGGTATGGGAAGGAGGGAAGGAAAAGGAAAACCCCCAGAAAGTTCACCAAGCATCTGTCCATACCTCGCATCCCAGTTTCCTTCCCGGGTCTACCCGCTACCATGTAGTTTGCAAAATCAGATCGCTGCTCTTTGCACCCACGTTAGAGTTTTTTAACTGCGTTCAGCGGGAGAAGCGGGATGGAGTGCTTACCTCATCTGGACCACCACTGGAATCCGTCCCCTAACTTTTGCTCTGTCCCTAGTTTAAGGGTTGCTTCTTTTCAACATCCTTTGTTGGCATCTCCTATTTTATGGATTTAAACATTAGTGTTCCTCTAGTTTCACGTTACGCAATTTTCTCACGCTGTACTCTCTCTGTAGCTAATGTCAATCATGTTCATTACCTAAGTTATTAGATATATGCAAATATGTCACAAGTTTATATCTCCAGGCTTATCTTTCTCCTTGACTGATTCTTGATATCTCTACTTATCTCAAAATCATGACAATTTCAACACGTCTAAAGTACATCTCATGATTCACCCTTCAACCCCCAGATTTGGTCCTTTTCAAGTATTTCCTGTGTCAGGTAATGACACCGTCAGCCTTCTTTGGCACGAAGAAGTCACCTTTGACATCTTCATCTCTTCTCAGTACAGGGATGGTCAAGGACCTAATTGAATAGCCCTCAAAAGTTTATTGCGTGCGTGTGTCTGTTCCGCATATGTTCAGTGAGCACTTGGCCCTTCACAGAAGCACGCACTGACCGCCTTCCGTGGCAGGCCCCTTGGCGAACGAAATCGATGCAGTCCTTGCCTCAGTGGACCCACAGACGAGCGAGAGACATTAAACAAGTAAACCCTCAAATTACAAATTGTGATATATGCTCCTAATAAAGGGACCAGCAAGACAGAGCCCATCATTATTAAGTAAATTTTGTGTTCCTAGAGTAAAAAAAGTGAATGGTGAGTAATAAGATTAGGAAAGTCCTTGCATATTATCTTAAGAATTTGGGCTTTGGGGTAATAAAAAGCCCCAATGGGATTTTTAAGCAGGGACATGACATGATCAGATTTTCCTAAAATCAGATATTGGTCCTATTATCATGTACTCAGGAACTGGCTTTGTCAAAGGTGGTTTTACCTTCTCTGTCCAATATATTCTTCTTTTTAACAATACCTGAAAAGTATCCCTTACCTGGGACTATGAAAGTAATGATTGTAATTCATACTGGCTGAGGTGCAAGCTAATCCAAATGGAGGAATATACCACTTACAGATAACTAACTTCGGTATTGCCTATAATATATAAAACACATTTATACTTACATCTGCTTGCTCTTTTTCACAGCAACTTTATGTAACGTACTCACTGTGACCACTGCAACTCCTATCTCGCTGCTAGGAAGGTATCTGCCCAGGTGCCACCCGAGGTCTGACAGCTGGGTCATTTCTAGCCTGTTTCAGTGACCTGTGCTGCTCCACATCCCATTCTGAAATAATCTGCTCTGTTCCTTGTGTGAAAGCTGATGTACCTACTACAGAGTGTGTTCGCACCCTTCCAGTTCTCATAGTTCACTCTTTGAAGTAAAGACTTCAGCTATTTCCATAACTCTGGTTATTCCTGTCTATATAAGGTACCGCACACGTTATAGCTAAGTCCGGGAGGCATGTAATTAGTTCTGCCCTAACCAAAGAACCAGCTCTACTCTAATGAAAGACTACTATAAAATGTCACTTGAAAATAATTCTGAAGTTGTCAGGAAATGAATGTGGTATTTGGGTTGCAACGGTTGAGGTATCTAAGTAAGAAAAAGAATTACTTCTTGCAGCTATGAAGGCTTCTTGGTCAGCCCTCCCCTGCTTCCCTGAAACTCAGGGCTTGTTTCTTGTCTTTTTTTTTTTTTTTTTTAAGATTTTATTTACTTAATTTGAGAGAGAGGGGAGGGAGGAAGAATGAGAGGAAGAGAAACATGATCAGCTGCCTCTCACACTTGCCCCCAACTGGGGACCAAACCGCAACCCAGGTATGTGCCCTGGCTGGGAATCTAACCAGCGACCTTTCACTTCGCAGGACGATGCCCAACCGCCTGAGCCACACCAGTAGGGCTGAGGGCTTGTTTCCACCCCCCACAATCACACATCTCTTGGCAGCTACACCTGGCATCAAACTTGCCCCCTTGCTCCGTCACCAGAATTTTGCGGTGCGGTTATTGCAAGTCTCTTTAAATGTAGGTTACACATCCAGGAACACGTAATGGGAGCCCCAGGTCTAAGGGAAAGGTCTAAGGGTTAAACAATCCAGAATTCAACCTCCAATACTAATGCTTCTTAGAGCTTTCATATTTCAAATTTTGCCAAATAAGTTAACTTCCCTCCACTCCAAACCCTCTCCTCTTCCCTACTCTAGAAGTGGAGATAGGCAAGTGAGAAGGGGCATATGGAGGCAGAAAAAATGGGAGAAAAACTAAAATTAAAAGGAGAAACGAAATAAGGACAACCCCCACTTTTCTTTTGGGATTAGATTTTTGTTGAAAACAATGTCTCCCAAAGAATGGCCATCCTACGACCTTTGTCAGAATTGCTCAGGGCCCTATTATAAATGCGATTGTCAGGACCCCACCCCAAAGCCACTGAAGCAGCATGTGGGACTAGACGACCCATTCTGTGTTTTATTTTTTTAAAAGATTTTATTTATTTCTTTTTAGAGAAGAGGAAGGGAGGGAGAAAGAGAGGGAGAGAAACATCAATGTGTGAGAGAAATGTTGATCCATTGCCTCTCATGCCCCTAACCGGGGACCTGGCCCACAACCCAGCCATGTGCTTTGACCAAGAATCAAACCAGCGACCTTTTTTTTAGTTTGTGGAATGATGCCCAACCCGCTGAGCCACACCAGTCAAGGCCCCACTCAGCATTTTAAACAAGCAGCATTTTTATACAAGTAAAATATTTAAAGTGACTAATGTAAATTGTCTCTGTAATTGTTAGCTATTTATAACGCAATAGACCTCATTGCTCCTGTTGTTTCTTCTTAATTTTCACAAGTGGTACTTACGTCACAAAGTGATTACTTGAAAGATGTTGCATTTATTAGCTTACTGAAACACTGCTATAAACATAAAAGGTACAAAATTATAGGAATCCTTGCCCTTCTGAAGTCAATCATCCAATGAAGGAAAAAAAAAACCCACAAACACACATAAAGACTTAATTAGCATATGGGTAGTACCCTGGCACAGAAACGGATACCATTTGCTCTAGCATCCGTGTACTCAAATAGCAAGGTTGGCCGATGAGTAAATCAGGCAGGCATTGGATGCCTCACTTAGGAAGTCAAAGAGTTCTAATCAGGAGGTTTGGAAAAGGAAGGGCAATTAGGGAGCCACCAGGTGTGGCAGAATAAGGCCTGGAGGAGAAGACAAGAGGATGAGCAAGGGTTGCAGTTCCAGTTTGGCAACTGAGTGATAGGGAGCAAGTCTTTAATCTTTCTTTGGTTCTGTTTTCTCGCTGTATAATCTGTTCTTTGTCTCTTTCTGTTCCCACCTCATCTGAGAGAGGATTTAAGGCAGAGAAGATGTCCAAGTTTCCTCTGGCACTAACATTCACTGACTCTAAACGTATCCAAGTTTCTTTCTGGAACAAATGTGTGATGACTTTATAGCCCAAAACCTCTCTCAACTATGAAACACAAATAAAGAAAGTATTACTAAATGCAAATTGGAATCTACTATTGCCCATAGGAAATCACTCTGTGAACACATACAATGGGGGACCCCCCAAAAATCTGGAATTATCTTCTGGAGGGCAGGCCCTTGTAGTACAGGCTTCCCCCACTATGTGGGTGTTCTAGGAAGCCATCTGTATCAGTGTGCTTGCCTTGTGGTGAGAGGCTGTGTCTTCGGTGAATTTTTTTTTTTTGAAGACTCTTTCAACGTGTTTGCCCATTTCATCATGGGTGATTTAAAGCGCACCTGCCCTCACTGCACTCAGTGTTCAGCAGGTTTTGACCAAAAACGCCCCTCCCTCCCTATTCACCAGATCTCTTCCCAAGCAACTTGTTGTTTGTTTCCTGGATGAAAAAAGTCCTCAAAGGGAAACATTTTGCCAATGTGGAAGAGGTGAAACAAATAAATGGCAGAAGCACTAAAAGGCATCAAAATCAACGAGTTCAAAACTGTTTTGAGCAGTGAAAAAAATGTCTCAATACGTGTATTGAATCCAAGGGAGAGTACTTTGAAGGTGACTAAAGTTTAAACGTGTAAGAATAAATGCACAATTTCTTATAAATAAATTCTGGGGGGGGGGGTTTGGGGTCCCCCTTGTATCTCACAACTGTAAAATTACAGAGCTAAGGTTCAAGTCAGTGTATTAAGGGTGAGCATATTGTCCTGAATTTCCCTGCAGAGTTCCGCCAGAGGCACACCCTTGGTGAACCCCAGGCACCCCGTCAGAGACTCCCATGCGTTTGATGCAATGATACCTTGCCCAGTAGTTTTTTAAGAGCATCTTTGACTTCCTTGTTTCTTAAACTGTAAATTATGGGGTTCAACATAGGGGTAAGCACGCCATAAAGCAAAGAGATGATTTTATCTATTTCTTGTGAGCTTAACGGAGGCTTCAGGTACATGGACAGAGCAGCCCCATAATACAAGATCACCACAGTCAAGTGGGCACCACAGGTAGAAAAAGCTTTGTTTCTTCCCTCTGCTGAGCTGATCCTCAGGATGGCGGACAGGATGAAGACATAAGAGACGCAAATAAAGAGCATTGGAATGGGCAGGAGGAGCACACCGACCACCAGCAGCGTCATGTCCATGGGCAGGGAACTCGCGCAGGCTAACTTCAGCACGGCCAGAATTTCACACGTGAAGTGGTCGATGAGATTCCCACAGAGGGGGAGCTGCAGAGCCAGGCTGGTTTCCAGCAGGGCGGTCAGACAGCCTGTCACCCAGGAGGCGGTGGCCATCTGCACACAGACCTGCCTGTTCATGATGATGGGGTATCTCAGCGGGTTGCAAATGGCCACGTAACGGTCGTACGCCATCACAGCCAGGAGCACACACTCCGTGGAGCCCATGGAAAGGGACAGATACATCTGTACAGCACATCCAGGAAAGACGATGGTTTTCTGCGATGAGAGCAAGTTCACCAGCAAAGTGGGAATAGAAGCAGATGTGTAACAAATATCCATGAAAGAGAGATTTCTGAGGAAAAAGTACATGGGGGTTCGAAGGTGTGAATCTAAGGTAGTGATCAAAATGAGAGTACTGTTTCCCAAGAGCGTTATCAGGTACATTACGAGGCTGAAGAAGAAGAGAACAATCTCTAACTTTGGGTATCTAGAAAAACCCTTCAAGAAAAAAAAGTTCCAAATGGTGAGGTTTTCTCCTTGCATTTTCTTTCTTTCACCTGTAGTTACTCTAGGCTTATTCTCTTCATTACACCTGAGAACATAAAGAGGTGGATGAGATATAATGTTCGTTTAGTTAGGAAAATACTTTCAAATTTATGTGCCCTATTATAAGCACAATTTTACCACAAAAATATCACAAGATAAATATATCTGTTGTTCTAAGGAAGAATAACATGATTTACACAAAAGTTGATTTTTCCATGATAAAATTAAGGGTGAAATTGAAAAAGAGAATAAATATTTAATATTTAATCTCCGCTCATAATCCTATGCTGGACACACAGTAGGTTTTCAGTAAATATTTGAAAGTACTGAATGCTGGAAAATATGATTGGACATTGACTAAATTATTGAGCACAAACTAGAAAAGTAAGCCAGATAAGTGAGCAGAACAAAGCACATTTGCACAGTAAAACTAGCAATGATCTTCACTGGAAGAGGAAGAGGAATGTTGAAAGAAACAAATAAATGAATTTTACACTAACATCTATGAAGCTCTGGGTCTAAATTAACTGTCCTTTCCAACTAACAGCTCAGAGGTCTATAGGCTTGTTCAAAAATGTAGACAACGTTTGAAGCATTGTTGATGCCCATTTTGATTATATTTAAAAGGCAGTTTACAAATCACACAAAATAGCCTACCCCATTTAAATACTGATACATCCACTCTACAGTTTTATTCTTTATTGAGAACCATACTTTCATGAGAATGTAAATAGGTCTATAGGCCCAGGCAATACTTATACATTATAATTCATGAAGACCCAAGAAATGTAGAAATTAAACTCCCTGTTTAAATTATCTTCAAACCTCTTTGAAAAGAAGATTAAAGCTCATCTAATTATAAACAAGACACTTAAGGTTGTTTCTTTTTACATTTCACATTTTAACCAAAACAAGTTACTAAAACTTACCTTGCTTCTGCACTAACATTTCCGTTTTTCACCTTCAATCTTTTTCTTTCCCCACAAGTTCTTTCCTTTCTAGCTTCAATTATTCTTAAAAATTGCCTTGATTGTCATGCTCCATACACAAACTGCCATCTTATTTTTGCTCTTCCTTTCATAGACAAATTCCTCAATTTTATGTTGTATCTTAATATTTCAGTCTTCAGTTCCTCATCACGTTCTTTCCCAGTTTCTCAATTTCAATCAATGCTATCATTTGTCTCCCAGGTCTCCATATTTTAAAAGTAGCATAGATGGTGATGGTAGAAATAATAATGCTGCATGCAGCATTTTATATCATGCCCCTATAAAGGGACATAATATTTTTCAAATAGTTCTCATTATATTACATTACTGTAACATCTTTGACTTTTCTACTACAGCTCATATCTAGCCTATTAGCAAATCCTTTCATTTTTTTTGTTTGTCGTAGTCATCAGTCCCTAAGCAGCTTACATTGTAGGCCCAAACATCATCAGTAACACTGAATACCACATTTAGTGTTCCCCGGAATACTTGTCAGTATTACTGCCCTCTGTGGTACTTGGGCATGCAGTTTTTGCTTTTCCTCCTAAGAGCTCCATTTTTCCTACTTCCCAGTAGTTCCTATTCATTTGTTAGATTATTCCTTAGGGATTTCTCTGCCAAATTTTGTATTTAACAAATTCTCTACAAAAATCTTATAATAGTGTAGTAAATTATTTTAAAGAAACTTAACGTTTTTGTGCTACTCTTAAGATTAGCAAAGAAAACTTTTTTTTTTTTTTTAAGAATGAAAAATCAGCCCAGTTGGCTGGGACTTGATATTTTCTATTGTTTAAAAATAGTAGCCAAGAAAAATTGGTTGTCTCACCTGAATTCTCTGTCACCAGCTCCAAATACTGTTTTATGGTGTACTTTATAAAGTTAGCTAAGTGCAAGAAAGAATAAGTTCATCCATGTTAAAAATGTTAAACGTATTACATAAAAGATCAACAGTGCAATTCATTTCTTTCAAAAGTATTGATTGTTACCTCCAAAGGAAGCCAATGCTGAAGGAAGCAACTAATATACTATGTAAATTAAAATCCTCTGTTGTTTGTGGGAATACCTATTGTCCCTGAACAATTTAAAAGTTCTGCAGCTATATATTACAGAGGCTTGAAACTTCAGATCCTTCAGGGATAATGTCCCAAAGATCCAATTATATCAAACTTTTAAAAGTTGAGACAGACTGCGCAAGGATGACGTGCAAATTCGTGAAGAATTCCTATTTTTATACTAAAAATTGAGACAGAGAGTGAACCAGTTACCCCAAAATGATTTTAAAGAAAAACAAAGTCTTCTATTCTTCCCTGTTCATCCTAGCTGTATCAAGATTTTTCCTTGAATGATTACAGTGTAGAATATTGAACAGTATATAAAGGAAAAGATAGTCCTAGAATTCTAAGATACATATTTTTTTTCATTTTTTAAACTACTCCCTAGTTTTCAGAGATTAAGGGAAGAAAATTTACTTTTTAAACCACAACTAATGAAAATTTACTCTTTAAACTAACAAATGATCAGAAATTTCATCCAATATGCACCTATCAAGAGGACCTTAAAGCAATGAATACCCAGTAGCAACAGATACACCTAGCACCCAGATACTGGTTTCTCAATACAATTCTCAACCAAAAGAAAACCCAGCTCCTTCAGGAAATGGCTGATACCAAGGTTGGAGAAGAAAAAGATCAAGATTAACTTGGAGTACCTTACCACACTAGAACGTAAGGAAGTATGCAAAGAATGACAGGAATATTTCAAAAGGCCATAGATTCCTCCTCGATGAAGCTTCCATCGGCCAAATCTGGGACTGATTACTTTGAGCATCAAAATAAATAATGGTAAAAATGAATTATAATCCATAGAATAAAATAAAAATGCATGAACTTTGGAACGAAGGAAGGAAGGTTGGTTCTTCCTTACAGTAGTATGCCAAAAAAGAAATATAGAAGAATGATGTATTTAAAAATTAATAATCAAGATTAAACATTGTCGTAGTAATAGATTATCATAAGTAAAGTGTTATCGTAGATAATAAAAGCATTACAGTTGTCACAGGTGAAAACGCTGGATGAGAGGCAGGATGTTTACATTATGTCAAAGTATCCCACCACAAACTCCTTACTAATTTCCCAAACAAGACAACAGTAGCTTTAAGCAGGAAGACCTGGCTGCGGGATAACCACCATAACATCACCAAGAACGGCATAACCTGACTCCCTGCGCCCTCTGCTATAACACACTGAAGACATGACATCACTTCTGTGGTATCCCTATCAAAAATACATTACCTGAATCTGATCCTGAAGGAAAACCAGACAAAATTAAATTGAGGAATATTGTGCAAAATATCCAGCCTATATGTTCAAAAGCATGTCAAAGTCAGGAAACAAATGAACAAAAAGACTAAGGAATTGTTCCAGGAGATTAGAGACATGACAGCTACCTGCCACATATGACCCAGCATTGAATATTATTACACCAGGGAAAAATGAGCTTTAGAGGACATTATCAGGACAAAAGACAAAAATCAAATATGGGATATTATTAGGAAAATAGACAAAATATGAATATGGGCTGTGGATTACACAGTAATACCGTATCTAAGTTGAATTTCCTGAGAGTCTTCATTGTATTGTGGTCGTGTGAGAGAACGGCCTTGTTCTGCCCTGGCTGGTGCGGCTCAGTGGATGGAGCGCCCGCCTGCGAAGCCCAAGGTTGCTGATTGGATTCCCGGTTGGGGCACATGCCTGGGTTGTACACCAGGCGCCCAGTCGGGGGGATGTGAGAGAAGCAACCAATCCATGTTTCTCTCCCTCTCCTTATCCCTCCTTCCCCCTCTCTAAAAATGAATGAATGAATGAATGAATAAAAGAATTTTTTTTTTAAGCGAGAAGGTCCTTGTTCTTAAATACTATAGTATTTACTGTTAACAGGGCAAAATGTCTCCAACTTACCTTTAAATGGTTCATTAAAAAATATGCTTTCTAAAAGTTCTAGGGGTGAGGGCGTAGCAGCCGTGATCCCCGGCAGGCATGTGGGGACTCGCCCCGCGCGTGGCCCCTCCGCGCCTCGCCAGGACAAGGGAGGTGGGCGGGCGGGGGGGGGGGGCGCTGGGGACCCGGCCGGGCCTCCCCGGGGCACCGATGCAGACAAAGTCCAGAGCCCTCCACCTGAAACTGGCGGGAAACCGGGCGGTCCCCGGTCCCCGTCCGCATCGTGGCGGGCAGCCTCGCCGAGCGCATCACTTTCCGCATCGAGGCCGCAGACGCGGCTGCAGCTCGGCGAGCGTCGCACCCGCCGCGGTACCTGGCGTCCGGGGCCTGATCCACCGCTCGGTCCCCAAGGCGGCCGTGGCAGCTTGCGGGGCGCCCAGGGGCGCGGGGCAGCACGCGCGGGCTGCGAGGCGGCCTGGGCGCCGGCGTTCCCCGTGGAGACCGTCGAGGTGAAATTCATCCACCACCAGAGCTCCCCCAGCTCCAAGCACAGAGCCTTCTTGCGCGGGGTCAGGGAGATTGTGCAAGAACGGGGCCAAAGGGGACGTCCCAGGGCCTCCCGCTTCTTGGTCGCGAGTGTTGGGATCTATCGCGGGCACAGCGGCGAGAACCCAACTCCGGCAGTGGGCGCGGGGAGCCTGCGATGCGGGGCCCGGCGGGGCGCAGATACAGAACCCGTGGGCCGGCTGGCGGACCCTGAGCCATGAGGGCCTCCAGGCCTGCTCGGGCACTGATCCCAGCCTGGGCCGGGTTCGCGAGGACGTGGCCGCTGTGTTTCTCATCGCGATGAGATGGGGAAGCTACTCCGCAAAGTGCGGAACACAGACGCCCCCAGGCGCCTCCAGACCAGGCCCCCCAACCCCGTCCTTTCAGCGTTGCAGTACAGTCATGCTAAAAGGCCCCCTTCCCCAGTCCCCCCGCACCCGCGCCCTGGCTCTGCCCCTGCGGCCATCCATGTGTCCCAGAGTGCCATGTGTCTGCTGTGGTCTGCATGACACCACCGCTTTGTGTCCATGGAGGCTGGGTGTCCCTCCGGCCTATCGATTTGTGCACACTGCACTCGTGCTTACTCGTGAGTCCTGAGCTTGTG